GTATATATTGAATATTTTGAATACTCCATACATCATCTTAAACTGTAGACTGTATAACGCTGTATTATTATTTTATCCCTTTTAGGTTGAGGCTGTCGAAAACGATGAATGATTCTAAACTGAGAATTTACCCAACTCACAGAAGACTGGAGTCTTAGAGATAATTGAGTTTTAGAAATTATTTTTATTTTATGTGTGTTTGTGTTGGTTCTTGTTCATTTATTTAACAAAATTTTTATTGTATATATACATATGCCATTTGAGTTTTATTCATCAACTTTTCGAGCCTGTGAATTGTAAATTTAAAACATTTTGAAACAAATTAGCTTAAAATGTTTTGTAAATATTTTTATGAATACGTTATGGAATCATGAAACTACATAGTCATTCTTTGATGAGTACAAATATTTTAACTGGTGGTATATTTTTGTCCTCGAAGCAGGGCAATCCTATAATTCTGCTTCTAGGCCCATTATGTACCACCAATTAAAATACTTGCACTCTTCAGAGACACCATGTATAATGTTACAAAATATTTATTTGCAACGTTTAAATAACGTCTAGCGCAACGCTTCAGTAACATTTCAACGAAACGTTTCTGAGGGCTGACATTTGCAGTAACATACACATTTCTGAAACGTTTCGGGATTTTAATATACGTTTCTGAAACGAAAAATTGTTTAGCGGGTTACCGATTGAGAATAATTGAGTCATGACAAGACGCTTAAATTAGAGAGTCAAAAATTATTTGCATTATTTATTCTTTATTCAGAATGTGATTAGAGTTATATCAACAACATGATTCCATTCGATATCTGCAAGAACAGAAGCTATCACCCTATGCTGTTAAACAAATTATAGACAAYTTTAAGAATTATGTTTCCGTCACGACAATCGCGCAAAGTAATAATCAAAATAGTAATAATTCCGTTAGTAATGATATKATCGAAATTGTTATTTTGTGATTTTTCGCCGCATATCCAACAATGTATGTAAGACGAGCTGCGTTAGAGTCAGGATTGTCGCAATCAGCCAGTTTTATAATATTTCGCAGACATAAGTTCCATTCATAGATATTTTCCATAGTTCAACATTTGAAAGATACTGTTTTTGTTCAAAAGGTTACATTTTGTGAATTTCTCATGACTTGGTAGCAAGGAACCGATCTTTTTTGAACAATTTCATATRGACAGACGAAGCAAAATTTACAAGAAATTGTACCTGTAAATCGACACAATTCCCATTACTTGGCAATTCAAATGTATATGTGTGAAATTTTTTTACAAAATTTTGGCAATTTACTTTTTATTGTGCTATTAGGAATGATAGCGTCACTCAGTTTTTTGGATCACTCTAGATAAAAATGTGCTTATATACAATGTAAGTAAAGGCTATTTGAACTTTTTAGAACATTTTGAAGGCTACTATTTAGACAACTTGCCCCTCGCTGTTGGGCTTTGCATTTAGAACCAACCATTCCTTAGATAGAGCTTGTTCCGTAAACATCTGTTATTGACATTTTTTCCTTAAACAATTGACATTGACATCGACACTATAAAAAATAAGTTAACAAATCTAGGGTGGCTCAAACTCGAATTGGAAGGCAAATCCAACCATTCTAGAAAAATAGGGACTTGCATTTAAAATAAGAAAGTAAGGTAATAGTTTTCGTACACCCTGTTCTACAGAGCTAAAATGGAGATAAATATATTTTACATCGTTTCGGGACGACTCGGTATGACCGGAAACGAATTTTGAAGGTTCTAAAACAACCATAAGTCGGAAAATTTCTAATGCACTGCCTACATAAATCACCCTGTATAGCTGAGGTATATGCCTCTATTTTCTTAATTCTCATAATCTTCGGGTTCCACTTTCGATTTTTGAGAGTATTTTTTATTGCATTCGTGACATGATGCCTAATTGAATAGATTGTAAAAAACGGTTACACTTAAATCTCGATTTTAATTTAAAAAATCAAGTGACACTTAAATTATGATTTGAGTGGTGAGTTGAATCAATTGATGTAAATTGATGCTACGCTGTGACGAACTTACCTTTTATCATACTCCTTTCCTTACTTTGTCTATGTCAACTATAGAAATAAAGCAAACCTGCCACCAGGGTTTCCCAATTGGGGCTAAGGTAAACGGAACCTTTAAAATTAAATTAAATTATAATATTAAATAAAATAAATAATATTAAATTAACGCAAAGTTTAATAATGGTATAAAGTAATATAATGGTACAACGATGTAGCATCTTTACATTTAGGTTATAATGTATTGACGCAAGAACTATGTAGGTGGTTTGTATGTTACTGTAATTCAACTTGGCTTGCAGCCGTTTATCTCATCGTCATAATTTTTAGCAGGAATCTTTTTAATTTCTTCCAATAAGGTAGCCTCAAATTCTCGTAGACCTTGTGGCTTTTTATACTGAAATAAAGATAACATTATACAGTATATATGGTGTTTGGAAACTTTATAGCTGACGTAAAGAACTTACCGTAATTATCAGTGTATTAAATTTGTGGCAAAAGTTAACGTTTTCTTGATTCATTTCGATACCTAGTCGTTCTAAGTCAGGTACATTTATTTCCTTGTAATACTTCTTGTTGGTAGTACGAACAATTAAGGAGTATGAACCCTTATCTATAGTTACTGAATACACGTCGATTGGATATGGCATGTTTCTTATTCTCCACTCAAGATTGATCTTTGTAATTCTCCTCGTTATAAACGGCTAAAAAATGGCAGTTAATCAGCAGCAGTACATTCGGCCCTTAGAAGCTTAAATACAAATAACAATGGTTTCACATGCAAGGCAATTTCAAGAGTCAGTTCTTTCTTATTATTTACCTGAGTGGAATTTTCACGAATCATGCATTTCTGTTCCGCATCATATTTAGGCTCCGGATCCCCAACTTCAATATCCCAGGCATCCTCGCCTTTCAATTCATTGTTTGTCCTCCATGCTCTGCGAGTGACGCAATTTGTTAGTAAATCGTATTGCTCCACCAATTCCTTGCCGTCTTCAAAGTCGTAATGCACTTTTCTTGAATTTCTGTCGATAATGCAAGACTTTTTTGCTTTCTGCAGCTTACTAAACCAGTTGTTCATCTTCAAACCGCATCTAAGGCAATTTAAGCGACAAGAAAAGTTACCAAGTCTAAATGTAACATAAGTATTTTAAAATTCTTAGCTAGCGTCATTGATTTAACAAACAATGAAGTTGCTAGAAACAATTTCGTTGCTATTGAAACCGGCAAGATCAAAAATATAAACAATGCAACGTTTTGTGGTTAAGTTTCCTTTTCTTCTACTTTTACTTTAATTTTAAATACACGCCATTAGTGATGCGCCTTTAGTGCAACAGTGTGAGCAGCAAAAAATTCAAACTAAATCACTGCTAATCATTCGCAATATTTCTTGCCATCTGTTTAATCATTAACAAGCTTAAAATATCCAAAGCTGTTTGCGGGCTCGAGCTATTCGCCGATGTTAATCGCGAAACTGATTGATTGAAGTGCGCTCACGCGGGTTTTTTTCAAGATTTCTGCCCGTTTTCAATGTTAAATAATGCGGCGATTTGTTCAGGTGACCAAAGCGGGAAAAAAGGCTCTTCTTTCGGCCTGCTGGTACTTGGATCATCTCAGTACTGGAGGCGATTGGGAGAAGTTCTACCAGTGCGAACCGACAAATTTCGGGGGCACTCCCGAACAAGTCAGCCTGCTACTTGGAGGTAATTGAGGCGGAAGTTTCTAGCAGTTAATGAAAAAGTGTCTCTTAGGAGAAGCATGCATGTGGTCCGAAGTCGTTAACGACTACAACGTAGTTCAGAGGATTTTCCCCAGAGCGTTCGCTCCTGCTGAGAAATTGTGGTCTGCTTATGATGCTGCTGAGCCTGATCTAGACGAAGTTGCCAGAAGGTTGGAAGAGCACGTTTGCAGGATGAATGCCGGAGGCATACCGGGGCAGCCCCCAACAGCTGCAGGATTTTGCCTGTAAAAAAATTTGCCAATTTCCACCCAGTTTTTGCTCCAGTATTCATTAAAAACAAAAAACGTCCAACAGTGTATTAAAAACCAGTCTCCTAATGATTAAAGTTAAGCCTATATGAAAATCGCCTCTTAATTGCTCGGGATTTGCGTTTTGAGCGAAAGAAGTGAGGAAATGGAAATTAACACAAAGCACATTTTTACAAATTATCTAATAACGTAACAGAACTAAGCAAAGCTGCGGATATCAAAATTCGCCATTTTTTACATGTTCCAGGAATGTATTTTAATCTGAGTCCCAATTAATGAAATCAAGCCAGTTCATTGAAACTACCACAATCCAGTCCGATGTTTAAAATGTAGAAAACATCACACGCATATACATTATGGGCATAATAGTTTCAATAGAAAAATGAACCCAAATCGTTCGGATCAGACCCCGATCGCTCAACGATTTTGATGTAAAATTGCCCATCCAGGGTGGGTTTCTCTTAAATGATACCGATTTCGCGCAACTTTTCACGCATTCTGTTAACAGTGCCGTCCCAGAGGGTTTGAAGCGGTTCCCTTACAACGTCATTAGTGATGTGGTCATGACATTAGCACTGTTGCTGTAGGTCAGTTTTTTTAAATTCAAAGAACGTACTTTTTACGTGGGTATGCTTGTAGTTTCCGGTCTTGTGTGCCTTTAACATGTTTGTTATATGTGCCAAGACAATGTATTGGTGTGGTACATGGTTTAAAACATTTCAAATAGTTTAGGTAAGATCTTTAGCTGAGCAGCTCTGAAATTAGCGATTTAACTTTATCATTTCTGTTATTTTTAGAGCATCAAGAACATACAGAATACTCTATGATCAAGAAAATTTAGTGGTTTCCAACTGTAGGATTATGCATATTTTGGTGAAAAAATGTAAGAGATACATAAACAAAAAGTTAAAAATACTAGAATAGGCAGAAAAGCATGTCATAAAGCATAAAGTCGGTTTCATGGAAATTATTTTTTAAAATAACCCAAAACAATTATTACAAAGAGAAAATTATTACACTAGTAGACACCTGAGAAAATTTTATTTACGGGAAATGTACAGCTACCCCTCATCAGGCGACAAGTATGAAGAAGAATTACTATGCTGTGGCGGTTTGTAGTTTCACCCTTATAGTATTTACATCTAGCAAAGCAAGTTCCATTATTCTCAGATATCTTATGACTTAAAGAAAGGCATTAGAGAAGCCGCATGTAGTTAGTTGTACAGTACTACTAGCAATGAACTCCATACTAAAGTACCTGTATACAGTTCATTGACTATTAGCTAGAGACTAGCCACTACTTGTTTTCATATGAATAAGTACCTAAATACCACAACATTTGTTTAAAAAGCACTAAGCAGAGACAAGAAATAATCCTTGGTTCTGGCCCCTTGTCTCTGGTACTAAGCTCAAACGGTTTGTAACAGATTTCACTCTCAGTGTGACGTCACGCAGACTGTCAGATGGACACAGCTGATGCGCAAGATCATACTTTATATTCCTTGTATCATGGGTATAGGGATTGGGTACTCGTACTGATTACTGGTATTGATTACCAGTTAGTCTGAGCGAGTACGAGTAGAGTATTGGGCTTTGGAGTCGAAGGTTAGGATGGGTGACTTGATTCTCCGAGAACGATTACTGATTACTTGAATACTCTTTTGGTAGGTTGGTTCGGTATTCGTTACTTCTGATACTGATGAGTAACGAGAATCTTATAGCGATTAGTTACTTTTTGTTCCCAGCACTAGAGTTCAACGCCGCTGTTACGCGTTATTGTATAACCAGTCTGTGGTATAACTGATTGCCTACTACACATGGATAATTTGTCTAAAGCCGCTCCGCAAA